CCCCCTGTGCAGATGCCCCAGCCAGCCTCCCCCTGTGCAGATGCCCCTTTTCTGTTGGCATTCTGTCCAACAGATGGGGACTGCTGTATAGAACAGCAGAGCCGTAACAGGGAAGCTGCCAGGAGAATGGAGGTTTGACAGTGGCCACAGGCAAGCACTGTTGTCTGCAGGGGGCAGTACTCCACAGCTCCTCCTGACTGCCATGTGGACATGTGGTCTGCAGTTATGAGACGTTTAAAAGGCTTTTCTTCGGCTGGGGATGGAACCAGGACTTGATGTGCTGGGTGGATGCTGTATGTCTGAGGCTGCTCTGCTAAAACGATCATCTACGCTTTTTCTTAGCTAAGAGGCTGGGAGGGGATCCCACCTGCCACCCTCACACATGCACACACACAAGTGAGTATTTTTAAAAGCCAAGGAAGTGTTGCAAGTGTTTATGGTGAGGTTTCTAATTTTATTTCAGTTAGTTTTTTTTAAGGTCATTTTTGTTGACATGGTATCTCATGTAGACCAGGTTACTCTCGAATCTGCTGTGTAGCTAAGAATGACCTTGGATTTCTGATCCTCCTGTCTCCACCTCCCAAATGCTGAGTTATACGTGTACCACCATACCTTGCTTCTGTTTTGTTCTTTGTTTTTTTGAGACAGGGTCTCACTATGTAGCCCTGGCTGACCTGGAAATCTTTGTACAGCAGGCTGGCCTTGAACTCATGGAAATCTGCCTACTTCTAACTCTGCCTCTGCCTCCCAAGTGCTGGCATTAATGGTGTGCCACACCCAGCCCATTGCTCCAGTTTTTGAGTGTTGATGCCATTTTTCTTATAAACCCGTAGGCTGCCTGTCGCAGCCTCTGCTCTTCAGAGAACATAGTCATGTCTGTGTTTGTCCTGAGTAGAATACAGTACCTGACAGCCTGCTCTCCTCACTCTCCCTTTCTCCCTTTCTCCCCTGCCCCTCTTCCTTCCTTCCTTCCTTCCTTCCTTCCTTCCTTCCTTCCTTCCTTCCTTTCTTTCTTTCTTTCTTTCGCCTGTCCTGTCCCTCACTGAGTCCCACTGTCCTGTCTTTTCAGGTTTTGTTGGTGCTACTAACTTTTGAGGGAGAGAATAATGTAACATGTTTTTAGCTTGAGCCTTCAAGGACAGGGTCCTGAGGGTAAGTGTAGAACCACTGCTGGCCAGGCTTTGTGGGGCCTCAGACCACTTGTGCTCAGAAAGACCCCCCCACCCACACCAGTTGAGTTCCCAGCAGGCATCAATGTGATGTGCTGGCTTGTCTTCAGCTTTGTATTCTGAAGAGTGTGACTCAGGCATGGAGACATTGTGCTGTGAGCACCTGCAGCCCCTCCCAGCCGCATCTCCAGTGTCTGTGTTAGCGCCCTTCTCTCCATGCGTGTCTGTGGACCCTGATCCCAGAGTTCTGGTCAAAAGGCCGCTGTAGCTAACAAAGTACGTTGGCCAGGCTTCTTGCTATGTACCTGCAGCTAGGACCAAAGTTAACAACAGAAAAGGGCTGTTGGCTCATAAGGCTGAAAAGTCTTGAGCGTGATGGCTCTAGCTCAGCATCCCCAGGACATGTTCCTCTCGGACCTCGGGAGCAGCTCACCCCTCGCTGCTGTCCGCTTCCCCTTGTTCATTCATGTGGAACACCGACAGCTCCTGGCACCTCACCAGGGGTCAGTCTTCCCCCAGTGGCCTGGTAAAGCTAGTCCAAGCTTGTGTACTACACCCACCCTGGAACTCCTTGCTGCAGCCAACTAGAAGGCGGGAAGACAGCCCCCCATAGGCTGTGGGTGCTGGGCAGGGAGACCGGAGACTGCCTGCCTAATGCACTCGATTGAAACCTGCCAAGCACAGCCCACGGCCCCTTTAGGGCACAGTTGAGCTGCCGATCTTCCTTGCTGTTACTGCGTGTAACAAGGACAAAAAGGCAGAGAGACTAGGCCTGGGTCTGGTTGGCAGTGCAGGGCCTGAGGGTCTTGACCTCCTGGCTGCTGGATAGAGCTGCTTTTCCTCAGTCCTCTTCCCTACCCCACTGCCTACCTTCTGTCTGTGGCTCTGGCTTGTGCTCACACAGATCCTGAGGACACAGTCAAGAGAGGGCAACAGGAAGTTCGCATGCATGTGCTCACCTTTGATGAGGAAGGCATGGTGTGGGAACAGGAGGTGAACATCCTGCGGGCTCTGGTTCTCTCCTGGCCGCCTCAGACCCTTGCCTCCATCGCCATGAGCTGCCACCTTATGGATTGATGATTTAGGGGGAGGAGTTGACTGCCCTGCTTCCTTCCACCAGCACTCTTCTTTCTGTAGGGCTACTCAGTGACCCCAGTCAATGAATCCAACCCACCTCCTCCTAGTGGTCACGTTTCCATGCATTGTCTTATGTCTTTGGTTTCCTGAGATGGTTTCATACCTCAGGCTGACCTGGAGCTTGCTGTGTTGCTGACTGTGACCTTGCACTCCTCACCCCTTCTCCTACACCCCCTGTGCTGGGGTTACAAGCATGTGCCCCCACACCTAGTTTATGTTGCTTGTGATCAAACCGAGGGCCTCAAGCATGCGTAGCAATCGCTCTAGCCCAACCCACATGGCCACTTTCTAAGTTGGCCTGAGTCCCTGCTTCCGGCTACAGGACAGGGGCACTGCTCCAGGCTAGATCGTAAGAGTAGTAAAGAGCTTGGGGCCAGTGCCCATGTGGTAAGGAGAGGTTTGCCTGTGAGCTTAGGCAGGTGGTATTGGTGGCAGTGGACTTTATGGTCAAATGCTGCCTGTAAGACCCGAGGGCCCAGCTTCTAGTCAGCAGCCCAGTCTGCACCCTCTGGTGGCCACTGGCTTTTGGCTTTTTCTTGGATGTTGCAACTCTGAGTGGAGGCTAGGTTTGGTTACAATTGGCACAGTTGACCTGGTGGCAGAGAAGAGGTTAAAGCCAATAGTTTATAGGACTTTCTGGCCAAGGAAGCTGGGCAGTGTGTGCTAGGGTCAATAGAGTTCAGTACAGCAGTGTCTACAACGGAGTGTGCTGCTACTGCTGCTGGAAAACCAGACCTTGTCCTGGCCTCCCTGCTCCTGCTAGGCGTGGGGTTGAGCAGGAACGCACAGTCTCTCTGTTGGCCCCTTGGCTGCCATCTTAGCATCACACCCCAGGCACAGCTGTGTGGGTCCAGCAGCACGGTTTACAGAGTCTGTCCTCGTTTCTCTTTCTCTGCAGTTTTGCATTTGGCTCCCTGATATCTGCAGTCGACCCGGTCGCCACTATTGCAATTTTCAATGCACTGCACGTGGACCCTGTGCTCAACATGCTGGTGTTTGGAGAAAGCATTCTCAACGATGCAGTCTCCATTGTCCTCACCAAGTAAGTAGGGAAGACTGGAAGGTCCCCATAGCACACTGATGCCAGCGCGCAGGCTGCTCCTGTGTGGTCAGTGCGGACAGGCTGCTCCTGTGTGGTCAGCTCACTACTGCATCTTGCCATTCTGACAAGCAGCCTGTGCCACAGGAGCATGTCACAGCCAGGCTGCTACAGGGAGTTGAGTTTGTGTTTTCTGACCTCTGTTTCTCAGCATCTTTGAAGGGCTTCTCAGAAATGACATTCCCAGGTCCCACCTCACAGGCTCTTTTGCAGTGGGTCTGGGATATGCTCCCTTGATTGATCTGTGTCAGCCATGTGAGGGATTAGTGTTTGGGCAGCAACCCTGGCTTACTGAATGGAATGTGGGCCAGTGCTCACCAGTAAGAATCGGCTGCCATGTCCGGCTCCACAGGGCAGATGGGCAGACAGCCTCTCCCCTCCTTTATTGGTTGCTTGATACCTCTCTCACAGCTCTGAAAGAAGATGACAGATTCCTTATATGTCTGAGGTGCTGCTGTGGAAAGGGGACTTTGGAAGGTGAAAATTTGTTTTATTTTTTTAAAAACAGGTATATATTACCGAGGCGGTGATGGCTTTACATCCCAAGCACTCAGGATGCCAGAGGCAGGTTGATGTCTGTGACTTCTAGGCCAGCCTGGTCTACATTGAGTTTCAGGACAGCCACGGCTACACAGAGAGACACTGTCTGAGATGGGGGCGGGGGGCAGAGAGAAAGAGAAAGAGAGCGAGAACTCCAGGTGATCCTTGTCTACATAGTGACTTTGAGGCTAGTGTAGGCCATTTATTTATTTATTTATTTATTTATTTATTTTGTTTTTGTTTTTTCGAGACAGGGTTTCTCTGTGTAGCCCTGGCTGTCCTGGAACTCACTCTGTAGACCAGGCTGGCCTCGAACTCAGAAATCCGCCTGCCTCTGCCTCCCAAGTGCTGGGATCAAAGGCGTGCACCACCACCGCCCGGCGTGTAGGCCATTTATATGTGACATGCGTGGATCTTTTCTCTCAGGAGTGATTGCTGTCAGTGCTCTGATTGGATGGCTTATACCCCAACATTAGGTTGTAACTTTTCCTTTAGAGCACAGCTGATAAAATCGTCTAAGATAACATCATCAGTTGGGTATCACGTTGGATTTATTGACATGTTTACCCACTGTCCTCACTCTGACTTCCTCTTGGTAAAAAATGCCTATAGTTTTAGGTAGGAAATCGTCAAGCGTCATGCCGTAAGGTTGTCTTAGTTAGGGTTTCTATTGCTGTGAAGAGACACCATGATCACAGCAACTCTTGGAATGGGAAACATTTAATTGGGCTGGCTTACAGTTTCAGAGGCTTTGTCTTTCCATTATTGTCATAGTGGAAATATCACAGAGTGCAGGCAGACATGGAAATGAAGAGATGAAGAAGCTGAGAGTTCTACATCTTGATCTCCAGGCAGGAGAGGTGACTTTGTCACACTGGGCTTAGCTTGAACACAGGAGATCTTAAAGCCTGCCCCCACAGTGATGCACTTTCTCTAACAAGGTCACACCTACTCTAATAAGGCCACACCTCCTAACAGTGACACTCCCCTTGGGCCAAGCATTCAAACATGAGTCTATGGGAGCCACTCCTATCAAGCCCCCACAAAGGCCTTTATAGTATTGACAGCAACCCTTTGTCTTTTGTAAGATATTTCCTGAAAGTTTAATTCAGTTGATATAGTGCTTGTCCATCTTGTACAAAGCTCTACGTTCAATCCACAGCACCACATAGAACTGGGCATGGCAATGCAAACCTGTAATCCCAGCACGTGGGAGACAGAAGCAGGAGGATCAAAAGTTAAAGGTTAGCCTCCACTACATAAGGAGTTTGAAGCCTGGCCTAGCTACATGGAACCTTGTACCAAAATACTTTCTTTTCTGAAAGCTCTGGATTTCGCCTTCATCTCATCTGGTGAGCTGGCTAAGCATTAAGATGAGGAATTTCCCACTTGGAGTTGATGGCAGGGGCTGTTTTTATTGTAAGGGGCAGAACTCAATTGCTTTGCCTGTAATTTCTTTAAAGAAAATCTGTCAGTAGGAAAATGTCAGCTTTCCCAGGTCTCTGCCACACAATTGCCAAGATGAAGAGAGACTTTTGAAACAGGAGAAGATGTCATCATTACACATCTCCTGGGAGACTGGCTTTGGAGGCCACCTGAGGCAGGTTCTGCAAGTGGCTCTGGATTGCATACTTGCAGAATGGGCAACTTCTTTTTCCGTTGTCATGGCTGCCTCCATTTCCTCAGAGCCTGTGCTCTTCAGAGTCCAGTGGAATTTAACCAACTTTGTCCACAGTGGGCCAAAAAGAAGTAAGTGCAAGAGGGGCAGGAAGGCCATGGAGGGTTCCAGAAAGGCTGTCCCATCCCCAGGCCAGATAGCCAGTGAGCGTTTTCAGTCAGAAGCAGGAAGAGTAGAGATAGAAGGCTGGTCCCTCTTTCATTGACCTCTGAACTACCGAACTCCAGCTGCTGTTCCTCCTGGGCTCTGAGGGGATGCTGCCTGTCAACAGCTCTTTCCAGAGTGGTCAGGCATCTCACCTTTACAAATGAGATATGCAAATGAAGGGCCTTCGTTCAGATGTTGCCACAAAGTAAAGCCTCTTCTGATTCTTCTTTAACTCTAGATTATTTGTAGATTTAGTTAGTTAGTTGATGGTTTGGTAGTTTTGTTGTTTATTTTGGAAACAGTCTCTCCTATAACCCAAGGTGGTCTTGAACTCCTGATCTTTCTACCTCAGTTTCCCAGTTACTGTTTCTAGCTTTGATTGCCGCTGTCACAGTTGTTCTGTCAGTTGCTGTGGAGGGAACCTCATCTTATGCCCTGAGGGTGGAACGTGTATCCATGTCTTTGAAGGTCCCAAGCACTGGTCCTCATCTATGACAACTAGTTATTTTGGCGGCAAGCAGCAAATTGGTCTATTTTAGCCAGAAAGAAAGAAAGAAAGAAAGCTGAGAAAGAAAGAAAGAAAGAAAGAAAGAAAGAAAGAAAGAAAGAAAGAAAAGAAAAGGAAAGAAAGAAGTCACAGTGAGAGGTTTGGAATAGGTGTGTGCATTAGGGACACTGAAGTAGGTCGTTTATGGGAAAGCTGTTAACACCATGGATAGGAGAAATGAGCATGCGGGGCTCCGGGGCCTCTCAGGCTCTAGCATGAGACATGCCATGTCAGGGTTTCTGAAGAGAGGATCCAGCCACAGGGCAGAAACAGGAGTTTATTCTTACCCTGTTCAGAGGATGGGGAGGTTTAACAGCACAAGGCTGCATCTAGGCTTTGTGATTCCCAGGCAGGAGGCAGAGGAGTGGGTGAGACCTACATGTGTGGTCACCCGTACCCCTTTGATGTCAACTCAATTCCCAGGTGACAGACCTTGGCTCAGAGAAGTCTTTAGTTAGGGACTCCCAGTGTCTGAGCGGGTGTGTCCTGAGCAGTAGTGGACTCCTCATAGCATTCTTATATAGAGCATGTAGGTGTGGTCCACAGGGTATTTGGGCAGCCAAGCCGCAAGTGACCTGCTGGGAAACAAGACTGACAGAGATGACAGTCAGGAACCCACACAAGGAGACTTGTGTGAAGACAGTTCCTTTTCGTCTTTTCCAGACAGGTTTCTCTGGGTACCCTCAGCTGTCCTGGAACTTGCTCTGTGGACCAGGCTGGCCTCTAACTCATAGAGATCCACCTGCTTTGCTTCCCAACTGCTGGAATTAAAGGCCTGCACCACCACCCAGCCAAGAGAGTTCTTTGTAGTTAACACTGCTATTTATTTTGTGTTTGTGGGCACTTGTACACATACAGACAAAGTTTGGAACTGAGAACCCATCTTTCAGCAGTTGGTCTTCAGATTTTGCCCCAGGTACTTCTGTCTTCTGAGCCATCTTCTGGCCCCTGAGGACCTGTTTTTTAGTTTCGACCCCTCAGAACCATATCATGTACCTCCAGCCTGTGAGACTCTGACCAGGAAGTTGGGCTCGCCTGACCAAGTTCCTTTTTCATCAGTCGTCAGAGATCATACTCCTTTCAGATGGAATAGTAGTTAGTGAAGCCAACTAATTCACAGTTCTGTCAGCAGATCCCACAGACACAGACTGAGTGGCTGGCCTCTGACTAGGCCCAGGACACTCGGGTTACAGGATGGAGAGAGCACCACTGTAGTCATCACATGCTCTGAAGGAGAAGCTGCCTCATAGGGACCTGAAAGTGGGTTGGCCTCTGTGGCCAACTCAGGAAAGATGTCTGAGGGAAGGAGGGTACTGTCCTAAGGGACGGGTGAGTTAGCAGCGTCAGGGACAGTAAAGAATGACCTGCAAGGAAGTGCCAGTGCCCATGTAGGCCAGGGCAGAGGGAAGAGATTGGACAGATAGCTCAGGGATCTGGGCTAGGCTCACATTTAGGAACAGATGGTACCATAGCAAGTGTGTGTTTTAAGGGGATCACTTTGGCTGCTGATGCAAACCTGGCTGGCAGACAGATGTGGGCATCTTTGAGGGTGGGAGTTGAATCCAGGTTGGAGAACAAGGTACCCTTTGAGTGTCTGATTTATCAAGAACAGTACCTTATTAATGGTGCTCTTATCTTTGGGGACAAATTAGCTGTTGGCTTGCTTCCCACAGCTGCTTTGCTAGCACAGTGAAAAGGAAGACCTTCCTGCTCCTTTTAGGGCTCCCGGAGTTCCCCTCTTAGCCTGAAGCTCTGATTTCTTCCCTAGCTTCCACCCCACCTGACTTCCTGCTGGAGCCCCATCTGGAGTTTACCTTAGGAGTCCTTTGCTCAGCAGTTGGCAACTGAGGCCTTTGGGGTGCACCACTGACCCTCCCATCATGCCATGGGCCCTGTACTGGTTGCTGCTCTCACAGGTCCTCCCTAACCTACATCCTCCATGCACTTGAATGTTCACACTCAAGCCCTTACCCATGGGCACTGTTTCTTCAGCCTGATAGGCCTCTTGCACATCCCCACCGGGACTCCCTGTATCCTAAATGGAAGCTCAGCCTGCATTTCCTCTGGAACGTTCCTGGATTGCCCCTAACCCAGTCTGAGTTGATGCCCACCCTATTTTCAGAGCTCTTGGACCTGTCCCCTATTTGCCCAGGGCAGCTCTTGAGAATAGCCTTTGCCCTCTCCTCCGAGTCCCAGGAACCACCTCAGTGTCTGGACACATAGGTGACTGACCATAGAAACTTCCAGGGACGGGTGGGTTGAATGTCAGGAAAGGCTGTTCTGAGAGGCCGTGAGTGATGCTAATTGCACGGACTGGGTCAGAGCACTTTAACTTTCTCTGTTTTCTTCTCTCCTAGCACGGCTGAAGGTCTAACAAGAAAACATATGTCAGATGTCAGTGGGTGGCAAACGTTCTCACAGGCCCTCGGCTACTTCCTCAAAATGTTCTTTGGCTCCGCAGCTCTTGGCACGCTGACTGGCTTGATCTCAGCATTAATATCCTTTCAGATGGGGGCACAGGTGCGGGGATCACGCTTGATGTGATGTCGTCACTCTTGCTAGTCTCTCTGCTTCCTCAGGGCCCTGGCTGTCCTGAAACTTTTTGTAGACCAGGCTGGCACTAAGCTCATAGAGATCTGCCTGCCTCTGCCTCCCAAGTGCTGGGATTGGAGATGGCTCAGTGGTTAAGAGCACCAAGAGCACCGAGTGCTGGGATTAAAGGCATGAGCCACCACCCAGCTCAAAGACCCAATTAATGTAGAGATTTGTTTAAAAGAAGGTTTTGTGCTGAGCTGTGGTGTGAGAAACACTCTAAGCCCAAGGACTCTTAAATTTAACCTTTGAAGTGTCCAGATACTTACATTTTTCCTCAAGTCAGCAGGGTCCCCTCAGCTGGCCTTGAGCGTGGTATCCTACAGATGACAGGTTTGCCCAGCATACTGTAGGATGTCATTCTCTCTCCTTTCCTTCTTTTCTTTCTTTCTTTCCTCCCTTCCTTCCTTCCTTCCCTTCCTTCCTTCTTTCCTTCCTTCCTTCCTTCTTTCTTTCTTTTTATTTTTGGGACAGGATCTCTGTACAGGACCCTGACTGTCCTGGAACTCACTATGCAGACTAGACTGGCCACTACTCACAGAGCTTCATCCACTTCCCTCTGCTTCCTGAGTGCTAGGACCATGGCAAGGATGCCATTCAAAGCCACACTGTTAGGCGGCAGATTTGATCTGGCATTCCGCTGCTGGGGGATGAGAACCATGGCAGATGACGTCATTCCATCGCTGTCTTGGTTTTCACATCCAGAAAACCAGGACTTTTCTTAGAAACCATAGGTTGTTTTAGATTTAATTTCACTGGGGGAAGGTGTGCATGTGTAGTATGCATATGTATACAGTGCCCACAGAGGCCTTGGGGAAGCTGGGTGTGGTGGCACACACCTTTAGACCCTTTCATCTCTGTGAGTCACGCTCCAGGACAGCCAAGGTTATGCAGTGAGTTGCCTGTTGTGGGTGCTGGGAACTGAGCTCAGTGGAGTGGCTCTTAACCACAGAGTCAGAGCACTGAAAACCATCTCCCCCTAAACCCCCAAGAGCTGCTCTGGAAGGGTGGGCAGGGCTTTCAGGGACGTAAGTGCCATCCACGCTGTTTATACTGTGTGTGCAGCTTACTAGTTAAGGGCTCTTAAGCGGAGAAAGAAAGGCTCCTTAAAGCAGTGGGACCCTTGCTGCTGGGGACAGTTTATCACACAGAAGTAGGACAGGCTCCAGACTGGTCCTGCAGCCCTCCGGCCCATGTCTCCAGAAGGCTATATGGCCCTTCTGAAGCAGTTTGTCTCTCCTTCAGCTGGGACATTCTTGCCTGGTTCCAGGTATGTTTCCTACCATCCTGGTGAGATTTCAGGCTGCTCCTCTGGCCCGAAGCTGAAGACAGTCATGAAGCATGGAGACAGTCAGCAGCAGCTGTCCCAGCATCAGAGTGAGGAAGACACTCAGTGTCGGCATTCTCCAGACTTCAGGTCAGCAGTGAAGAGCACTGTCTGCATTAAAGAGGCCCCAGGTTCAGTTCCCCATACCCACATGATGGCTCACACCCACATGAAACTCAGGTCTAGGGGATCAGACACTTCTGACCTCTGTGGGCACTGAGCATATGTGCAGGCAAATGGCTCACACTCACAAACAGCATGTCAGAGATAGAGGTGCATGCCTGTAGCCCCAGGATTTGGGAGACCAAAGCAGGATTCCACAGGTTTGATGTCAGCAGGGACAGATAGCAAGATCCTGCCTAAGAGAGAGGTAGGGGAAGGGGCAGGGTGCAAAGAGGGAAAGAGGCAGCAGACGAACAGGGAAGGGCATATGCTACAGTCCATGTTGGTGGGAAACTTGGCTGCCTTCAAGGAGCGTGTATTGTCATGAGGCAGGTGCATGGGAACTCCACTCCAGCTGGGCCTGGGAACACTGACTCTCTGTTCCCAGGGGCAGGGGCAGGAAAGACAGGCCATTCAGCAGGGTGGTGAGTCCCTGAGAGCAGGCAGTAGAGTGACCTGTGTCGGCATCCCCAGTCTCTAAGTAAGCATTTTTGAATGGCTTGTTAGATTTCTCGTTTCTAAAAGAGAGAACTCTTACTGAGAAATTTCCTACTGTAACCACGCCCCACTCAGCATCTTTTGTGGCACTCCTCCCGATGCCTTGCCGCATGCCTCTCCACTGCCCTTTGTCCTTCCTCCTTGACTTCAGTGCCATGTGCTAAAGCACATCGACCTGAGGAAAACGCCTTCCCTGGAGTTCGGCATGATGATCATTTTTGCGTATCTGCCATATGGACTGGCAGAAGGAATCTCACTCTCAGGTAAGAGGCAGTACCCAGCATGCCATGGTCATGGCTCAAGAGAGGTTTTGTCATGTGCGTTGCTTTCTCTTGGCAGAGACAGAGGTGCTATGATGCCCCTGTTTCATCACAAGAAAACCCAATGAGGGGTAAGGAGTTGAGGTGCAGGCAGAAAGGAGGTCAGGAGTTCAAGCTCATCCTCCATCACATAACACATTCAAGGTTACCCTGGGCTTTTGCCTTAGAAACAAAGTGACACTCCTGAGGTGGTTTAACAAGTGGAGGCATTTGCCACCAAGACTAATGACGTGAACTGGGCACCCGGCTGACTCCTTATTCAAAGTCGTCAGGCAGGTAGAGAGGTTGTGAGATTCAAACACTGGCTTCCTGGGCTCCCAGCTGCAGATACCCTTGGATGTTCTAGAAGAGGTGGTCCCAGCTGTAGGAGGAGAAGCTGTCCACCAAGCACTGGCTAGGATCTTTCATGCTTTGGACTCAGTCAGCAGCCCCTTTCTGTCAGCTTTTGCCTCAAGTGGTCTGGATCCTGGGCTGCTATTTGCCAGGTTATGAGAACACCAGCCTGGATGTGGAGGCTCTGCAGATCCAGAGCAAGCCTCATGCTTTGTCTGCATGTGCAGATACAGCTGAATGGGAGGGCTCTTGACACCAGATCCTCACCCTTAGGTAAGGGCTCTGTAGGGACCTGTTGAGGAAGAGAAGCACCACACAGGCTGGCCTCTGTGATGGGGGTGGAGGGCTTCTCCTTTAGACTGCAGTGGGGCCAACATCCCTACAATAAACCATCATCTGTGTGTAGGCTCTGGTGAGTTTTGACAGGTGTGTGTAGTCACATGCTCCTGGCTGGATATAGAGGGGCCTCGCCCCATACTGTGTCTTCTTTGGTCACCATGAGCTACATTATTTATTAATGGTTCTTTCCAGATGTCACTAGATGAAGTCATGTGACATACAGTGATTGGTACCTGAGTCTTTCTGACAGTGGTGCCACCTTATCGTCCCAGCCTCTCCATCCCAAGGCTGATGAGGCTTTTCTACTTTCGGCCTGTAAAATGTTTTCTTTTATGTAAGGTGACTACTTAGGAGTGAGGTTGCTAGGTTAGAAGATATACCAGTTTTAATTTGTTAGGAACTGCTGAGTATTTGACAGTGATCAATTCTGCAGGGGTTGAGCTGGGACCATGCCTTTAATCTCAGCACTTGGGAGACATAGGTGGGACAGTCTCTGTGAGTTCCAGGACAGCCAGGGCTACATAGAAAAACCGTCTTGGAAATCAGAAAGGCCAGGCAGTGGTGGCGCACGCCTTTAATCTCAGCACTTGGGAGACAGAGGCAGGCGGATTTCTGAGTTCGAGGCCAGCCTGGTCTACAGAGTGAGTTCCAGGACAGCCAGGGCTATACAGAGAAACCCTGTCTCAAAAAACCAGAAAAAAAAAAAAAAAAAAGAAAAGAAAAGAAAATCAGAAAGAAGGGGCTGGTTAGATGGCTTAGCCATTAAGAGCACTGACTGGGCTTCCAGAGGTCCTGAGTTCAATTCCCAGCAACCACATGGTGGCTCATAACCATCTGTAATGGGAATCTCATCCCCTCTTCTGGTGTGTCTGAAAAAAGCAATGGTGGTGTACTCATATGTATAAAATAAATAAATAAATCTTAAAAAAAAAAAAAAGGAAAAGAAAAAAACAGAAAACGAAAAAAATAGCAAAAAAACCAACCAAACAAACAAACAAAAAAGCAGACCAGTTCTCTCTGCTTTTCCAGCAAATCATGGGCATATAAAATTAGAAATAATTTTTTTTAAATGTCAGGAATTTTTTGTGTTTGGCTAATCCATGTATCCTTCCAGTAGTGAGTTCCAGTAGCACTGTTCTCTCCTTTGACGTCCTTGTGTACAGGAGGTGGTCACAGTAGGTGAGGGCGCCTGAGTGTCGGTCGGGTGGGGTGGTGGCCTGTTTGTGGAGGCAGAGTCCTCAGGAGCCCCTTGGCGTGCTCATCTGGATCTCCCTGTAGCCCTGGAGCTGGCCAAGCGCCCATCCTCTCCTTGGCCCATGGTGCAGTGCCTCTGGGTCATTCCCAGCATTCCAAGTGCACAAGTACGCAGGTTGTCAGACGCAGCACCCGTGTGCTTGTGCACATGGAATGGAACCGTTTGTATCGGGCACGCTCAGAAGGTTAGAAGTGTTCGATAAGAAACAGGTTCCCATCTTCTCCGAAGCGAAGCTGGACCTGCCCATCAGGGTTGTGACATCCTAACGAAGAGCAGTACATCAGTTCTGATGGCCACTGCTATACCAAGTGTTCTTGGTGTTCTTACCTTCTGGGCAGTGCACCTTGACCACCTAGAACCCTTTGGCCACACTGCCCCCTGCTGGATTTGAGCAGCGCTGTCCTGGGACAGAACCCAGGAATTTCCACACTTGTGTGTCAGGCTCAGTTGCCTCCTGAGCCTTTGGTCTCAGGAACAAGTATTTCCAGCCCCTCTTGCCAGTCGTAGCAGCATCTCTGTTTGTAGTGCAGCTGCAGCGATGGTCTGCCTGGTGACAGCACTGTAGCTTGGGGTCCTCTCTGGTTAACACTGCATCAGGATGAGAAGCATGGTGCTGGTTTTCATCTGAGCCAGCCCTGTGAGCACTGGAGGACCAGACAGCTCCCTACTGCACCCTCCTGCCTAGGCCTGTGTGCTTCTTGCTGGTAGTTGCTGTATAGTACTGGGCCTCAGGCCAGGGCCTTGAACATGCTGAACATGTCTTACCAACACCGCACCCTTGTCTGCTGTCACTTTTTTGTAATATTTTTCTCTCTTTTTTAGATTTTTTGTTATGTGTTTCGAGAACAGATGTATTCTGTAGCTCTAACTGTGCTGAAACTCATCACAGATCCACCTGCCTCTGTCTCCCAAGTGCTGGGACTAAAGGTGCTTGCCACTATGCCTGGTTAGACTTACTTTTTGTGTATGATTGTGTACCACATGAGTGCCTGGGAGTTATGTATGGCTGTTAGCTACCATGTTGGTGCTAGGACTCAAATGTTATGATGTCAAAAACCAGGAGCTAAGAAAGGAGGATTTTTCAGTTATTTTTTTCAATCATGGAAAAGGTACATGTTATAGGTTTATGGTGAGACAGTTAACATACCACGAAGCATTTTATGATTAGTTATGACCATAAAATGGAAACAGTCTACAATGTGTAATTCACAAGATTACTGAGAAGGAACAACAACAAAACAAACACACAAACAAGATGACCTCTAGCTAAGGACATAATTAAAGCCTAACATTGTTTAACTAAAAAAAAATAAAAGAAGAAGAAGAAGAGGAAAAGAAGAAAAAAAAAAAGAAAAAAAATAGAGTCAGCTGTCCCTTAACACAAACCCAGGTCCTTTACAAGAGCAACAAGTACTCTTAACTATGGAGCCACCCTTCCAGCCTCCTGGTGTCGCCTTTTGGTGGCTGTAGGGCCTTGTTTGACAGCAGGATCAGGGAGGGCCAGCTATCCCTAAGAAAGAGCAGGTGAGGGGGCTGGAGAGATGGCTCAGTGGTTAAGAGCACTGACTGCTCTTCCAGAGGTCCTGAGTTCAAATCCCAGCAACCACATAGTGGCTCACAACCATCCGTAATGAGATTGGATGCCCTATTCTGGTGTGTCCAAAGACAGCGACAGTGTACTCATAAATAAAATAAATAAATCTTAAAAAAAAAAAAAAAAGAAAGAAAGAGCAGGTGAAGCTGGGGAGTGCTGGGTTGTCTGTCCAGCACAGCAGGAACGGTGGAGAGCAGGAAGCACCCTTCCCTTTGCTGGTCTTCTCTGGAGTGTCTTCTTTTCTGTCCCCTTTTGTAGGCAAGATGGAAGAGTAAAGGAAAGTGCTCCTTCCTGAGAGGATGGGGGTAGAACATTCCAGTCCTTTTGTCATGTACACAGCAGTGTGGGGATTTCAAAGAGCAGGTATTGCAGGGCCTTGTGGGTGATCAGCTCAGAGGCTAGTGTGTGGCACTCCCTTTGGACAGGTGCAGTTAGCCAGTTAAACTATTTCTCCGAAATGATGGAAGTGAATTAAAACTTGGCTTATAAAGTTTGATTTTCAGTTTATGTATGTTGGCATCTTGTTAAGTAGCTTTTAAAAATGTCAGCTTCCTTCTGCCTGTATGCAGCTCTGATAAAAGAACCCGTGTAGAGCCTCAAAGAGGCAAGAGGAGCATGCCAGGCACAGAGAGGGAGGGAAGCAGTCCTCAGGGAGCACAGACAGATGAGCCCTGGAAAAGCAGTTACCTTCCTGGGTAACAGATCACTGTGTCCGAGAATAGCAATTGGTGACTATGGGGAAATTAAAATGAGAGTATTTTAAAGGTCCATCAGATGGCCCTACCCATCACCCAGGGTTGGGGGCTTTCACCTGTGGATACAGTGCCAGCTTCTCATCTTAACCTTGAAGCAAAGGGGAAGTGTGCAGCGACGCTCCAGCTATTGAGCCTGTGCGGACAGCTTAACTACCATTCCTCTGACTGTCGGAGGGGTAGGGACTGCACCAACTACAGCTCAGAGAAGTCACCTGGCCATTTCTCTGTAGCTTCTGCAAAGTCTCAGGACTGGATCTGCCTCTACTCCCAGTCACCCCTTCTCTCCCCCTCCCTCCCCTGCCCCCATCTCTCCCTTCCCTCTGCACCCTTCTTCCTCACTTTCTTTGTCTCCTCATTTTTCAGGCAGAGTTTCTTGTAGCCCAGGCTGGCTTCAAACTTGCTGTTTAGCCAAATTCTGATCTTCTGACATCTGGGATTACAAGTGTGTGTCATCTGGCTTATGGCTATCATATCTGGCTTATGTTCTTAAAAGGAGGGATGCAGGGTGCCTTGCTTGCTAGGCCAACGGTCTACCCACTGAAGCTGCATCCACCTCTCTTTCTGTACTCTCGTCTCTCCTTTTTACATGTGTGGGTGTTTTGCCTGAATATATACTGCATACTTATATACTGCATACTTGGCACTCATGGATGCCAGAAGAGGATATAGAATCCTCTGAAATTTAGTTACCGTGTAGGTGCTGGGAACCAAACATGTTTCCTCTGGAAGAGCAGCCAGTGCTCTATACCTCTGATTCATCTTTCCAGCCCCTCCCATTTCTAAAAGCCCTAATATATTTGGAGTTTGGGGAATTTGGGATGAGTGTTGTTTGATTTGCACATCTGTCCCTGTGTTCTGTGTCATATCTGCCTTCTGCCTCTCTCTCTCTCTCTAGGCATCATGGCAATTCTGTTTTCTGGCATCGTGATGTCACACTATACACACCATAACCTCTCCCCAGTCACCCAGATCCTCATGCAGCAGACCCTCCGGACTGTGGCCTTCCTGTGTGGTGAGTCCCAACTCTGAGTAGCCTCACAAACTGGGATTGCTGCCCTACCTGGGTGTAGGCTAGGATTTTTCCCTGGCAGCAAGGCACAGAATCCCTCCAAGCCCAGGCCATCACTGTGCTCCTTATCTCCAGGGCTGGCTCCTCTGGCTTTGTGATTCCATAAAAGACATGAAACACCTAAGAAATGGACATCTGATGGCTATAGATTATGGTCAGAAGTAGAACTGCTGTTGAATATTCCAGATGTGTGTGTGATGTCCTACACACACATACTCCTAGGAAACAAAGGGTGGCTGACCTCACCCTTAAGTCCTAGACTCTCAGGGTAAAGTTTCAAGATCTTTGTGAGCTTTCCAGATAGGGACACTGTGAGTTTGTAAGGGAGGGGTGCCCTAGCACCGAGGGAACTCCAGAGTCGAGTTCCCCGAGACTGAACATGAGGTCTTTCTGTTAAACAGCAAACAGTTGGAGCTTCCTCCCCTATCTTTCCATGACTCCACTCCTGTTCATATCTGAAATGAAGGTGCCACCTTTAGCCATTCCTTCTCTCTCTCACTCACTCACTCACTCACTCTATCCTAGGGCTAGGCCTCAGTTGCACCATCAGCCTCCACTGGTGTTGAGGGACCCTGTTTGACTTTGGAGCCAGGATGGCAGGGCTAGCCGTGGGAGGCTAGGTAAGGAGAGGCCAGGGAGCTCAAGCTCAAAGACAGCCCTCTAGTATCTGGGAGTCATTTGACCCATGGTTCTTACCAGAAAGCCTCAGCCAAAGGTTCTGACTTGACCTGACCGTCACAGGGTAGAGAACAGAGAACAGCACACTCTCAGCTTCTGTTCTGCACCCAGAGCAGCTTTAATGCTGGGCACGCACACTCTCCTGAAGCTCTGTCACACCCTCCATGGGAATTCATCAGGCATGTGCTTTCACCAAAAGAAGTTTAGCCAGTGCACTAGGCTGTTCAGATGTAGCTTGCATTGCCAGAAGCAGCTTACATGGCCACCCCGAAAGGTTGGTGAGTTAACCACACATTCTTGCTGCCAGGGAAAGGTAAGGTATAGTAGACCTAGGTGCACTGGCTTGGAGGACCAGACAATGTCAAATAAGAAGGCATCTCGGGGGCTGGAGAGATGGCTTAGCAGCTAAGAGCACTGACTGCTCTTCCAGAGGTCCTGAGTTCAATTCCCAGCAACCACATGGTGGCTCACAGCCATCTGTAATGGGATCTGATGCCCTCTTCTGGTGTGTCTGAAGATACCTACAGTGTACTCACATACATAAAATAAATCTTAAAAAAAAAAAAAAAGAAAGACAGCATCTCGGAGGGGAGGGGAAGGACGAGTGTGCCACTACCAACACTGCTGACATGTTAAGCAGCCTCAGGGCTTGTGTTCACATCTTAAATCACAGTCTCTTTCTCCTTAGGGACTAGGCTCTTTTTTAGGGGGTGCATATTTTAACCTGGGAAGTTGATTTTTTGTTTTCGTTCTTTTCTGGTTTCTTTTGTCTGTTTGTTTTTGCTTGTTTGTTTATTGAGACAAAGTTTCTCTGTGTAACCCTGGCTGTCCTGGACTCGTTCCATAGACCAGGCTGGAACAAGTCCAGGATGGCCTCAAACTCACAAACATGAAGATGCTGCCTTCCAAGTGTTGGGATTAAAGGTGTATGCCACCATTCATGGCAGGAACCTAGAAACTTGGGAGGTGCTGTTTTCAGCACATACAAGTCATTGCTTGCACACCTAGTGCAGCCAAGCCTGAGCATGGGCCCTCCCTGCAAGCTCTGGGAGTTAGCTTCCTCTCGAACCTACCAGCAGGGAGTTAGCTAAAGTGCCTTTCTCATCTGTCATGTGGCACCACAGTCACATGCTCACAATTCTGCCACTTTGCTGCCCCATGGGACCCTGACTGATTTCAGTAAGTGCCTGGGTGGGGGCTTGACCTGCTTATAGTATCTGACAGTTAACTCATCATGTTGTGGATTCTCCATAGCAAAGACCACTGCCTATGTGAGAGTAAGAAAGCAAGCCAGCTACGGTGGCTCACCCCAGCAGTCCCCTCACTCACACTGCATTCAAGGCCAGCCTGGGCCAAACAGCAGGACCCTAGTGAGACCCATCCATTCCCCAACCCCACCCCAAAAGGCTAAGTACAAAGTATGACACAGTGTGGCTGTTGGTGTGGCTTCAGGATGCTTGCTTAAGTTACTGTTGAATTGTAAGAGGAACTGGGATGAGTGACCTGTTCTTTGGTTTCTTTCAGAAACATGTGTGTTTGCATTTCTTGGCCTCTCCATTTTTAGTTTCCCTCACAAGTTTGAAATTTCCTTTGTCATCTGGTGCATAGTAAGTATTTTTCTTATTTTTTTTTTTTATTGAATGGCTTATTTTTAAAATAGTAACTACATGGTTTGGAATCATTTATGTAACTTAACAATTCAGAGTCAACAGGTACAGAGACTGATTCTGTCGAAATGTTTTTGTGTTTAAAAGATCTCAGACGTAAGAATCTCAGTGTTTTACATTTTCAGTGTCCTTGAATGGTGTGGTTTCCTTTAAAGAGTAGTTTTAGCCAGGGCCTGGCAGTGGCGCCTGTAACTCCAGCACTTGGAAGATGGAGGCAGGAGGAGCAAAGAGTTTAAGGATAGCTGAGTGGTGGTGACACACGTCTTTAACCCCAGCTCTCAGGAGGGAGAGGCAGGCAGGCCTCTGTGAGTCCAATGCCCCTGTCTCAAAAAGGAAAAGAGAAATGCGACCAACTGCAAGAGATCCCAATTCTCTTGGGTCCTTTTGTGTCCCGTCTCCATCCCCATTGTGACTTCCTTAGAGCAGCAGCCTGCCTATGTCACAGTCTGTCTTGTAAGTGCAGGTTTTGGGGAAAGCCTTGGGAAGGCCTTTCATAGAAAGTCTGACAGTTGCATAGTTTCTGAGTTGCAGGATCTAATCCAGGGCCTTGTGCACATGCAGATGCTCCACCCCCAGCCCCTCCCCCACTGCGTGGAGCTGTAGTTGATTAAAGCTTCAGAAGCCTTTGCAGAGGCTTTGCCTTGAAGCAGGCCCAGGGCCTGAGCCATCTCTGTGCTCCCAGGCAGAGCTCACTAAGTTCACCCTACTTGATCTGAAGAGCCAGACTCCACATGAGAGAGGCAGAGGTGCTTGTCTGCCCTCACCTCTGACTCTACAGTGCTCCCAGTGGGGAAAATTAGCATAAGCCCACCCCAGTAATGAGTCTTGGCTGTCCCTTAGCTCACCTCTAGGCACTGCTGGGAGCTAGTTGGTGCTCACCTTTGTTTGGGGCTGTGTAACTAAAGCTTGCTAGTGGGTGATGCTTGCTAGTCTCTTCTCTCCAAAGCTTCACCCAGGCAGAGCCAGGGCAGCACACCTGGGAATCTCTGCCTGCTGTGCTGTTGGTGTCTTCTATGGCTGAGGGCAAGGCTGCCTTAGACAGGTGTGCTACACTGGCACTAGCTTGAAGATGCAGTGGATTCCACGTACACTGGGCACGTTGACATTGGCAGGTGCTGGTACTGTTTGGCAGAGCTGTCAACATCTTCCCGCTGTCCTACCTGCTGAACTTCTTCCGAGATCACAAAATCACCCCCAAGATGATGTTCATCATGTGGTTCAGTGGTGAGTGGCAGCCAGGGGGGTGGGCCTGAGCTGGGCGTGAAGGCAGAGGCCCTGGGAAGCTAGGTGGCATCATTCATATGGCACCATCACCAAAGTACCACGGAGGGGGTGGTCCTTTAACAAGGGCCCTGGGTAGGCCTGTGTGTGTGGTGTGGTTAGTGTGGAGAGGCAGGACACTGGGATGGTGCTAAGGATGGGACTTGACCCAGGGCCTCCTCATGCTAGGCAGACACTTGGGTAGCTGGCCCCTTGATCCAGCTGTTACCATTCCTCAACGCTAGTCAGCTTATTTCTCCTCCTGCTACAGAGTCCTCATAGCTGAGGCTGAGCATTGTGGGCCCCTCTCTATGTTAATAGTTGTGGCTGTCCTGAAACTCATTCAGGCTGGCCTTGAACTCAGAGATCCGCCTGCCTCTGCCTCCTAAGTGTTGGGATTAAAGGTGTGCACCACCACTGCCCTTTGTCCCTTTGGGTCTTTAACATTCCATATGCCTCCTATCTAAGTTCCATTAGCCAGGTATGGTGGCACACGCCTTGGATCCCAGGAGAGACACAGAGCTCTGAGTACAAGGCCAGCTTGCTCTTCATAGTGAGCTCCAGGCCAGCCAGAACTAGACAGTGAGACCCTGTCTCAAAGCATAAAATTAAATCAATGAATGTTATTGAAGTATTTCCATGTGAAGTGGACTATAGCATCACCCTTTATAGTGTCCACTCCAATTTGCCTCATAATTTTTCTTCAAAAAGACCTTATTGTAAAAGCTGTGAGCCAAGTTCACTAGTGTTTAACTATAACACCAGCTACTTGGGAGAACAGGGCAGGAAGGTTTCTAGCTTGAGTCGAACCTGGACCCTGTCTCACACAAACGTAGAAGTCTGGCTGATCTGATACCTACAGTATAGACTCGGTTTGAACTTGCAGTCATCTTCCTCGCCTCTGTCTCCCAAGTGCTGGGTCACACCGTCATGTAAACAGTCTCTCCCAGTGCCTCACCCGTGCCCATTTCCCCACTTCTGCCCCTTCGGCTGTGCAGGCTTTGGCCTTGGTCAGCTCAGCAGTAGCTTTTGCAGCATTAGCCCCCAGCCTAGTGTATCTGCTGGGCTTCTGCTTCCCTCCTCTCACTGCTGTTGCCAGTGTACAGAAGACACTGACCGCAGACAGTGTCATCCTAGGGTCTGGCCCCACCTTGTTCTGAACTCGGGATCTTTCTATATCTGCCCTTTGTATCCAGCTCTCCACACCAGCCCTCTCTGGAACCCAGTTTCATGCCCCTCTCTGTCTCTGGGTGCTGTGGGCTGCAGCAGGTTCCTTAAGGTGGGGCCTACAGCCTAGCTAGCTTGGTTCTCTCTTCCTTGGGAAGCAGCACGGTAGGTTGGCATACTTGCTCCCTTTGTTGGCACTCTGCACATGAGCCTATCATAGGTGTCTGGTCCCCTTATCCTGTGGCCCTTGTGGGTTTGGAGAAGCATGGTAGCTACCTGTTTTTGTTACTGGATCCCACCCACTCTGGCCTCTCTGCCATCTCATGTCCGGAGTGCTGCAGCTTCTGGCCCCCACCCTCCTGTCTGAGCCACCCCATTGTGGTCTCTGTTCCCAGTGACTCTGCTCCTGAATTTGGTGTTGTGTTTACAGTCTCTCCTATCTGCTCTGGGAGCTTTGGAAGGCTTGGCGTTCCTGCTGTGTGTATACAGTGCAGGTCTGCTGGCTTCCCACCGTCCTCACCCTCACTCCATCATTGCCAGCAAGCTCCACAGACAGGAGTCATTAGACAAGCCACACCTTCCTGTTCCTGTGTATGCTGAATGGCCCTGGGCAGGACATTTCTGCTCTAGCCTGGTCCTCACCTGTGTGCCAAGGAGAGTGGCAGCACCTGCTACCCAGGTTCCTGTGACAGGCGACTCTTAACTGGTGGCCTAGGGCACCCAGGGAGGACTCAGCCACCATAGCTATGACACATGATGATGACATGTGACAGATGATAGGTCCCCAAATACACCTGCTACACAGCATGGCCTTTGTCATCTTGCTGGAGCCAGCCCATGTAGAACATGCAAGAAACTCAAGCTGACCACCCTGCCTCTTACTCTTGAGTCCTGGGCCACTCCTGTCAGATACAGGTCCCACTGTTAGTGACGCTGAGCTGAAGGCACCCTGAGTCCTGGGCCACTCCTGTCAGATACAGGTCCCACTGTTAGTGATGCTGAGCTGAAGGCACCCTGGACCCACTTCCTTCTCTTTCCCTTCCCCTTCTTCCTGAGTCCCCATTTGCCATCCCCAGGTCTTCGAGGTGCCATCCCCTATGCGCTGAGCCTGCACCTGGGCCTGGAGCCCATGGAGAAGCGTCAGCTCATTGGTACCACCACCATCGTCATCGTGCTCTTCACTATCCTGCTGCTGGGCGGCAGCACCATGCCCCTCATCCGCCTCATGGACATCGAGGATGCCCGGGCACGCCGAAGGAGCAAGAAAGATGTCAACCTCAGCAAGACTGAGAAGATGGTTAGTGCAGCTGAGGCCCTGTGGCTCGTCTGCCTGGGAGGGTGGGGCAGGCTTCTGGGGGCTTCGGCTTACTTATGCATTTGGTTATCTCAAAGTCAGTAGTGCAGGCCTGAGAACAGGTGCAGGACTTGGCTTCTGAAGCAGGGCTCTTTGGAGTAGGGTGTGTGCCAGCCTTGTGACCTGCTAAAACCATAGAAACTGAGAGCTGTTGCCATCTGCAGCTTGGGACATCTGAAGTAGAGCCTGGTCCTATGCCAGGCTCCCAGGAGAGGGCCTCTGCTGCCAGGAGCTGAACCCGAAGCCCAGGTCAGGGACCGAGAGCTTGCAAATGTTGGTATTCCTCAGCACAGTTACACTCGATAGGGACCAAGAAGATGGTGGCTTGTGGGACCGGGGAGGGCTATAAGCAAGGTGGAATCCTCGAGGACAGAGGGCCTGGCCACATTGGAAGCTTAGGCTTCTGCACCTTTTGCCCACCTCTACTTCCTATGAGCCGCCTCCTGCTGCCAGGCTGCTCTTGAGCTGGGACCACCTAGCACTGGCTCCCTGCTCCTCCTCCTCTTGTGCTGTACCTCCTCTTGTACTCCTGATCCACCTTCCCGCCCCACCCCGCCCCACCTGAGATGCACTGCCCTCTAGTCCTCCTGTTTGAGATGTAACTTGGGTCAGTCATCCGAGGACCATCTGGGGGCGTGGCCAGGCCACTGGTCTAGGGCCTCAGGGTCTGCAGGTACTTGTCATACTTAGAGGTCTGTCTTCCCAGCTTCTCCTAGCTAACCACTTTGCTTAGTGTGGTGTTGTGTTCTCGTATTTTTTTGGTTTTGTTTCCTTATTTTCAACCTTTTTTTGAAGTGTACGTGTGTCTGTGTATGTGCATGCCATGGTGTGTGTGTGTATGTGTGCTCATGAATACAAGAAGAGAGTGTTAGATCTTCCAGAACTAGAGCTGTAAACAGTTATGAGCCACCTAGTGTGGCTGAGCGCCGGGAACTGAACTCCTTCCTCTGGAAAAGCAGCAAGCATTCCAAACCACTGAGCCATCTTTACAGCCCCCCCCCTTTTTTTTTTTTTTTGCTTTTTGAGACAGGGTTCCAAAGTGCTGGTAGTTAACAGATGGGGGCCCTGTGCAGACTGACTTTCCTGCCAAGGCTACAGCCACTCTTGGGCAGTCAGCCCAGTGGGTGGGATGATAAATTCACTGTTGTGGCCAAGGTGATTAGAATGTGCAGGGAGCTTCAGGTGAGAAGAACACTGAGGCATAGGCATAAGAAGGGCTCCAGGCAGAGCCTGACCTCACAGGCATGGTCTTTCCAGGTCTTAGAGTAGGCTTCCCAGACCAGCAGCTACACTGGGAACTTGTGAAATACGCACATTTGGTAGCCTGACGGCTTGTGGCAGAAATTGCAGCTGGGGCTGAAATGTGTGTCATCTTCTCAAACCCCAGAGACTGACCAGGCATCTTTACTATCCTCTGCACTGGAGGCCCAGGCCAGCAGGGCCTTGCAACTTTAGAGACTTGTCCCTGGACCACCCTGCCAAGGGAAGGCTTTGGGGGTCCCAAAAGGTCTGTGCCTGTGATCACCTGTACCAGAGTAGACTGTTAGGATAGCATTCTGGGAGGAAGGCAGATTGCGATCCCGGGGAAGTGTTTGCTGCCAGTGACAGCTCTGTTATACAGGGTAATGCCATCGAGTCAGAACACCTGTCTGAGCTCACTGAGGAAGAGTACGAAGCTCACTACATCCGACAGCAGGACCTCAAAGGCTTCATGTGGCTGGATGCCAAGTACCTGAACCCTTTCTTCACACGGCGGCTGACACAGGAGGTGGGCACATCAGGGATCCCCTGTCCCCCCTCAGTCCTGCCAGGGGTGGGAAAGAGAAGCAGCCCAGCCCTGCCCAGCCCTGCCCTGCCCTGCCGTTTTTCCTTCCCTAAACACCTTGGAAGCTGGATGGGCTTCAGATCCTGAGCCATCCTTCTGCATGGGGTGGGTGGGACTCCTAGCTGCTCTCCCTCTCTTCCCAACCTATGTATGGTACATGACAGCACATTACCTTCCCACCCCATGAGCACTGTGTCCTTCAACAGCTAAGCAGCAAAATATGTCATCTCACTTGATAGCTGGGGAGACTGAGGCCCAGGGAAAGGAACACATACGCACAGGGCAACATAGTGCAAAGCTGTCACAGAGCCCAGACATCTAATTCCAAAGGCCTAGCTTCTAAACATGCTGTTTTTCTCCCTCCACCCCCCTCACCTGTCAGTTCACCCTCCTGTTACTTCCAGCCTATTGGTTCACGGCAGCCTCTTGTCACCTGACCTGTCACTGACTTGCTGACAGGCTTCTTTTTTTTTTTTTTTTTTTTTTGGTTTTTCAAGACAGGGTTTCTCTGTGTAGCCCTGGCTGTCCTGGAACTCACTCTGTAGACCAGGCTGGCCTTGAACTCAGAAATCCGCCTGCCTCTGCCTCCCAAGTGCTGGGATTAAAGGCGTGCGCCACCACCGCCCGGCACTGACAGGCTTCTTACATATTTCCCTCCAGGACCTCCACCATGGGCGCATCCAGATGAAGAGCCTCACCAACAAGTGGTATGAGGAGGTCCGTCAGGGACCATCAGGCTCTGAGGACGATGAGCAGGAGTTGTTCTGAGCCCACACTGCCTCATGAGGCCTCCTCAGAACACAAGATGGCAGACCAAGGGCTAGTCTTAGCTGGGAAGCTTCAGGCTTTTGGAGCATGCTGGCTTCAGAAATGTGATAGGCCTCCATGACTCACAGAAGTAGACATACCCCAGTGCTATTTCCGGGCCTGCAGAGGACAGCAGTTGCCAGCCTCCTTGCTGCTTCTCTGCCAGGCCACAGAGAAAGCTTTGGAGGCTGCTTGCTCATCTCACACCATGCCTGGGCCATGGCATCCTCACACCTCTGGAGCAGCTGCTGGCAAGCACATCTGCCATTTGTCTCGGAATTGTCCTGTGCCTTGGTGTCAGCAGCAGTCCTTATGACCTGGTACCAAGGCCAAGAGACTGCAGCCTCAGTCCCTGCTCTGTGTCTTGCACTCCCTAATAGAAAGGCTGACGGGCCTTTTATCTCGACATGGAACTGGCACTTAACAGCCTACCTTTGGAAAGGCACCTGTGGCCCTCCTGTGGGTACAATGCAAATGTTTACACTGCTGCCTGGCAGGGGCCAGCCTGCAGGCTTCCAGGAAAGGTGTTCGCCCATCCCCTGGGATGTTCCTGTTTGGAGGGTTTCCTGAAGAGACAAAATGGAAGCACAGGGTGCTTGGGGCACCTTCCCCAAGTGTGAGCATCACCTCTGTGTCCTCTCTTTTCCTCACCTCTCATTGTCCTCTGTCTCCCCAGTGGCTCTCTAGCCCCTGTAATGTGAAGCTTCTCCCACCCAGCTACTGTTTAGAGCCCAGCTTTGTCTTTCACCAGTTTCTGGAGCTTGGATGCCTCTGCCCTCCATGCCAGGCCCCAGCTCTCCAAGACACTGGGCAGTGCTCCCCACTTTGGTCACCTGGATTCCGGTGACTTTGGGTCACAGAACACACACACACACATACGCACGCACGCACGCATGCACGTCGCAGGATAATGTGCTGGATTATACCACAGACAATGGTTGTTGCCTGATGTCTTCATCTGCCCTTTTATAGCTGCAGTCTTCTGCCCATCCATGGCCCTTCAGCAACTACCCATGTGGCCCTAGTCCCTCCTTGTACTCTGGGTGGCTTAGTTGTATATGACCCTGACTCACAATGGGGACACAGTGGGCCTTGTTGCAGGTGTTTCTGATCTCAGGTGCTCAGGTTCTGATGTTGGGAAGGACAGTCAGGCCTCTAAGGCCCTGTCACCTCACTGTACTGCAAAAGTTGGTGAAGTTGGAAGCATGCAGTTTCCTTCTGTATATAAGATCCCTTATCCTTGGCAAAGCCAAGACACAGTCCTCTTCCTTGTCTCTCGCCTTAGCCCTGGAACTGGAGCCCTCTGTGGCCTTGTGTGATTTTGGGTTAAGGGGCTCCATTCAGACTGAGTTGTTCTCTTTCTCAGAACTCAGGGTCCATCTTTGAGACTGGCCCCTGTCTCCAGGTCTCCTGTCCCTGGTACGTTATTCTTGGTCTCCTGAGACCTGAAGCGAGCATCCCAGAGCTTGGTGAGAGTGCTGCTGCACCCGCTACAAGCACCAGTAGTTGCCTCTGCCTCTTACTGGATGATGTAGGTTTAGCACCGGGAGACTGCCCAGCCCTGCAGAGCCACTGGCCAGGGAGCAAAGTGCTAGATGTTTTTATTTTTCAGATGTTTTACCTGAGAAACAAACTGCTGCCACCACCTCCTCAGACCTGCTAGTCCTGTTGTGTGCGGTGGCGAAGGCACAAATGGTGTAATGTGCTGCCCCAGTTTCAGGTCTAGGCCAAGGGACAGGCCAGCTGGGCACACAGAAGGTAATACTTCAGTGTATGGAGGGACCTGGGTGCCCCTGGGTATCTGGCACTTTAGCCAGTGGGCAGGCCATACCCTGTACTTCCTGGTGGTCCATCCCTGCAGTGTACACAAACCAGGTCTTGGGTGACCTGCTTTCTACAGTGCTGTGGTCACAGGGTCCCTCCAAACAGCCACATCAAGCATCTTGACAGGCTGAGGGGCTTGGTATGCAGATTTCTTTCTGTGCAGTAGAATGCCAAGAGACTGAGCAGAGAGCCTTCTTAAAACCCACCCTGAAGGCGACCATGTGCCCATGGTTGGTTCCCTCCTCCCTTAGCTATGGAGGTACATGTGTAGAGGTCAGCTGCTGTTGGCTCAGACAGGAGGATCCAGTAGCTGTTTACCACCCACCAGGTTTCTAAGATGCCATGTGGAGATGGGGTCCTCCCCATTCTCCTCAGAAATAGCAGCTTGTTTTCTCTGCTGGCATCCAGGCAGCGAGAGGCAGACTGCTAGCTGAACGACCATAAGAACATGAGGCCAGGCCCATGGGAGGAGGGCCTTCTGGTGACCCTGCTTCTCCATCCTGCCTGCCTTCCCACCTGTCCATCCTTTCAGAATTGGGAGGTACCATCATGTGCAGTGGTGGGATAGGCCATGCTCAGTGGCTCAGTGGCTGTGGCCCTGCTTTTGAGCCATGGTAGCACTGGCTGGTGAGTGGTGGAGTTGTTCTGCTTCCACCAGGGGGAAGGGGAAGGCTCTCCTCACAAGCCTGGGGTTTTTTTTTCTCCTGACAGTGGAGGGTTTCGGAAGCCCTAGCTTTCTGTTGTGATTTAGGTAGGCTGTTCGGTTCAAGGTCCCTGGGGCCTTTGCTGCTTTGGGAGGGGCCTGGGATCTGAACTGGAGGAAAACTTCTGGAGTTTCCTCCCTCTTGCCTGTCTGCTCCCCTCACCCTCCCTGCTGGATTGGGGGAGGGTGTCCCAGGCCACCTCACTGGATAGTTAGAAATAAAGTGCTGTGTGATCAGAGCTGACCTCAGTGTGTCACACGTTTGCAGACCGGGGTTTGCACACTCCTAGGTATGGCTGAGTCCCCACAGCTCTGCAGGACGGCAGCAGGCATATTCCAAGAAGTGCAGTGTTTAGGAGTACAGCTCTGGCCTCAGCGAACAACACTTGAGACAGGATGTTCATGTCAACCATGCCTTCCTCCCAGGTGCCAGGAAGCCATTGCTCCAGGCTGCTGCTTGACCAAGTGCTGGTTTTTGACAGCAGAAAATGGAGAACTTCTCCATGGAATCTGAAAGGCTGAGGATTCAGAGCCTCTCTGGTCCTCAGCTCATGAAGGAAGCCCTTCTCTGAGGTGCTGAGGCAACTCATGCATGTACACTTCCTGAGGGAGCTGCTGCCAGCACCAGGTACTGGCATGAGCAGAGCCTGCCAGCAAAGCCCAGTGGACAAAAACCAGGTTTTCTGGTTCTTTCCAGCTCTGAGACTTCCCCACCCTGACCAGCTACCAAGAGAGTGAAACCGCCCCTGTACCTACCTAGCACCAGCCATAGGATGCAGGTACGAGGCCCCTCTGCCAACATCATGTGGCCTTGGCCATATGGGAAGGCTGCCTGAGTGTAACAGCTCATGGGAGGGAACTCAACCAGCCTTGAGTCAGGAAAGACACTGGTGAAGAACAGATCAGATTCTCAGGATGCCCTGGTCCTGAAGATGGCTGGGAGTTTTTCTGAGTAGTGTGAGCATGGAAGAAAGGGCTCAGTTCCACTGAAGGATATAACCTGATCAACTTCAGAGAAAGCCCTCAAAGTAGAGAGGAAAACTAGAAGAAATAGCTTCCTTAGAGGCCAGAAGCTGTGGAAAAAAGGGTCCCAGAGCCCCCAACACACACAGCACTCAATCTGAGGAAGAGACATTTTAGTGCACACTAAAAACATGCTATATGGGAGGTGGAGGCAGGGGAATCTCTGAGTTGGAAGCCAGCTTGGCCTACATAGTAAGTTCTAGGCTAACCAAGGCTATACAGTGAGACCCTGTCTTTAAAAATCAAACATGCTGTCAGACACAGTGGTGCACACTCAATCCCAAAACTAGAGGCTGGGACAGGAAGATGGCCACAATTCTGAGCCAACAGGAACTAACTATAAAGTAAGAGTGCTTGCTTGAAAGGCAAAGAAAAAGAAAAAAAAACACACATACTACCCACACACTTGAGTTCTGCGTGGTGCTGCCATGCTTCTCTGAGGCTGCAGCTTTCTTAGGAAGAGAGCAGGGCTCATTCCCAGCTCCACACTCCTGTCAGTCCCTTCACGTGTTGAGGAAAGCCCTCCGACTCAGGATGTCCACGAGAGCAGCACCTTGGAGAGCTGCCCATGGCTCCTCTCCTTTACAGTCGGTACAGTGCTGGGATTAAAGGCGTGGGAGGCCAGGAGCCACCTATCAAAGTGGATGCTAGGAACCAGACTCTGTGTTCTGAGAGCAGCAGGCACTTTGTACCACGAAGCCATCTCTCAAGTCCTACATCTGCCATTTTAACTTGGGCTCTGGGGAACAGATCAGGGTCTCATACTTGTAAGGCAAACGTTTAACCAACCGAGCCATCTCCACAGACCAATTTTCATTTCACACAAAGCTAAGGCACTGTGGTATATACTTACAATCCAAACATTTGGGAGACTCAGGCAAATGGATTACTTCAAGTCTGAGACCAACACAGTCTCCATGGTGGACACCAGTCAATTACTAGAAATTCTCATAAAACCAGAGAAAATATTTATGTGGTATGTGTATTCATTCATTTCTGTGTGACTTTTCACATGTCAGATTCACACCACCATAGGGAGGTCCTTTTATAGACATGATAGAAATGAATGACCCCATTGCTAAACACACTGGGGTGCTCTGTGTTACTGTGAGTGAAATGACAGCTAGGTCGGAATGACTCTCCCAGAGGGCAGAACCCCACATGCCTCCTGCTGAAGCAGCCTGTCTCTCATGTGTGCTGATCCGTGCCAGAGAGCCAGAGCACATGCGCCACACTCCATATTAGCAGGCTGGCACACAAAACGAAGGAACATCTGGCCAAGTTCCAGATGCTTCCCTAAGAAAAATAGCAAACCCGGACTAGGGGTTGGCCACCTTAGCCTAGAAAGGACTTGTACCAGCTAGCTTTTTTGTCAACTTGACACTGGTTGTCACTTGAGAAGAGGGAACTTGGATTAGTAAAATGTTCCCACCAGACTGGCCTGTGGACAAGCCCAGGAGGCTCTTGTGGGGAGGGGAGAGGGTTTCTGTGTACTCCTGGCTGTCCTGCATAACCAGGCTGCACTCGGAGACCTGCCTCTCCTAGAGTGCTGGCATCAAAGACGTGCACCACCCCATCCCCACTGGTCTAAGGGGCATTTCCATAATTGAGGATCCAGCCCCCTGTGGGTGACCCCACCCTTGGGAAGTGGTCCCAGATACTTTAAGGCAAGCCTGTAAGCAGCATTCCATGATGGCTCAAGTTCAGGAGCCTATCCCTGCAAGAGGATTGCAAGTTTAACCCTGGCCTGAGCTATTCAGTAAGACACTGTCTCAAACCACTCCCCTTATACACACATGACTCAGGGTCATTAAAGAATAATGACATGAAGCTTGGAGGGAACATGATAAAGAGATCCTGCGGGGGTGGGGGGGTGTGTGATATGATCAAAATATACTATGTGACTGGGCAGTGGTGGCGCATACCTTTGATCCCAGCACTCGGGAGTCAGAGGCAAGTGGATCTCTGAGTTCAAGGCCAGCTTCTTGTAAAAAAGGAGTTCCAAGACATCCAGGCTACAAACTTGTCTCCAAAAAACAAACAAAAGCCTACTCAATGGGGCTAAATAGAGTCATCAGTTAAGAGCATATGTTGCTCTCACAGAGGACAGGATTCCATTCCAAGCACCACAGGGTTCTGAATCATTTCATTTACCTGTAACTCCAATTCCAGGGATTCCACACGCACTTCTGGCCTCAGTGGGCACAGCATGCACACAGAGCACAGACATATACAGGCAAAACACCCATACACATAAATTATTTTAAAGAGAGCTTACATGCACACATAAATTAGAACTGGGCTCCTGAATGACCCAGCAATCCACATCTCATTCCACATAGATAGGTCAAAGGTGTCAGAACCGGGCCAGGTTCTACTCAGGTACTGAGCTAACCCATGGTGGTACCTGGAACAGTACATGCATATATAGGAATTAGAGAGAGGCAACCACTTCTTAGGAAACCAGGAGACTACGCCGGGTGACAGCACAGGATTGGAATAAGCAAAGCTTAGGCAGGCACTGGCAGACCAGCTTCTATGAGTCACTATATCCATAAGCTCTGGGCTTAACCAGAATCCTGCCTCGAAGGTATTTCATATATGCATAAGCACATGCAAACACATAACACATGAGAAAAATGGAAAATCAAACTGGGACTGCTATGTTCTGTAGGCAGCCTGAGTGGCAATGCCTGGGACAGACTTGTCCAGTGGCACATCACTTGCCTAGCATACACAAGACCCTGGAGTAATTCCATGACCTGTCCCACAAGTCAACATCCTGCAGTGTGGGGGACTTGAGCTTGATGCAATAAAAGGCACACACATGAAATAATTTTTAAAAGGTGTGTATGGGCCGGGCAGTGGTGGCACACGCCTTTAATCCCAACACTTGGGAGGCAGAGGCAGGTGGATTTCTGAGTTCGAGGCCAGCCTGGTCTACAGAGTGAGTTCCAGGACAGCCAGTGCTACACAGAGAAACCCTGTCTCGAAAAACAAACAACAAAAAAAAAAGTGTGTATGGGTGTCTTGTGTATGCCTAGTGCCTACAAAGGCCAGAAGAGGATGCTGGGTCCCCTAGAACTGGAGTTAGAAATGTTGTGAGCACTGATGTGGGGGCTGGGAATTGAATCTGGGTCTTTGGAAGAGCAGTCAGTGTTCTTAACCATTGTACCATTTCACCACCTGTCAAGTTTTGTTTGGTTTGTTTGTTTGTTTGTTTGTTTAAATAAAAAAAACCCCTTTGGCTAGATATGGTAGAACATGCCTTTAATGAGAGAAATCAGGAGGCAGGGGAAATAAAGGTGTATCTTTAATAGTAACAATTATTTCCCCCGGAAATACTTTGGGGAAATGGACAGCTTGACCGCTGGGCATGGTTCCCATCTTCCCCAGATGGCCAGGCAGTAGTATCTAAGTCCTGTCACTTGCGCTAACTGTTAGGTGTCTAGGCCAGAGCATGCTTCAAATAAGGGAAGCCACAGAAGGGGCTGTGACACCATAAACACTTCATTTAACAATGGAAGACACTTTTTATTATTATTTTTTAAATCTCTCAACATTTCAACTCCATAGAAATCAAAATATGTGCACTTTTAACTTAGCACATACTCAGCTATCCGGACCACAGCAACCTCCTATAGTGAGGTACACCTCTAGGCGGGGAGAGGCCTTGCAGTCTGTACACAGTAGTTCCTGGTGGGAAGCACACTGGACTTCCTCAGGCAACCTGTCCTCCATCTTATTAGAGTTCCTGCAATGCTGGAGTGACTGGAATGGAAAACACAAGCTCTCAGGAAGAGCCAGGCATCACCTGCTCTGAGGAGTGGAACATCACCGAGCCGCTCAGGAAGGCCAGTCTCAGTAATAAAATTGCCCAAATTCAGCTATCTACATGTACATCTATCTACATGTGGTCTATCAGCTAGAGATAAAAAAAGTCATATAAGATTTGGAAAACCTTAAAATCACTCCAGTAAGTCGGAAGACCACCAGCAAATTCACAGTGGCTTAGGGTTTGGCCAGAGTCAAGCCTGCTCCAGAGCTGAATGCCTGCCTTTGGGGAAACTGCTTGCACATAGATCCCAAACACTGGACATCACAGCTGCCTATGGCTAAAGTGTGTTAACACCTCACAAGGAAGTGACAGCTTCAAATTTCTGCACCGCCCCTCACCCCAAAAAGGAAAATCCAGAGGTGGGATTTAATCCAGAAAGTGTGGACACTGGGCTGAGTACTGGAGAGGTGTCTACCTAATGAGCACATAACCACCTCTGCCCACCCTAGTGCAAAGAGACTGAGCCGCCCTGATAGCCCTGGGGACCAGTGAGGAAGGCTAGATCCCACTACCTGAACTTCCTTCTGAAATTCAAGGTTTAGGGTGCAAGATTCACGCTCAGCAGGCACCAAGACCAGAGCCATAGATGTGAGGGCTGAGGTCCTCACCTTGTTACTGAAGTCACTGTAGACCCCAGCACCATGCTAACCCCCGTGTGCACACTGGAGGTAGGTGTATAATATTTACTGTAGGGAACACAGTAGCTCTCTACCACCACGGGAAGGAACAAGGGCTTTCTCAGTCCCCTACCCCGAGGCTCCCAGCTCTACCCTAGCAGTGGAAGAAAGACCGGGAAAGGGCATGCAGCCCCCTTGGAAGACTAAAGAACCCAGGGCACCTTTATAAATACCTTATCAGTAATTTCTTTCACCATGTTGAAACACACAGCAAGTTTAACACTCATTTAAAAATAAACCTCAAATTCTCTATGTACAATACAGTAAAAGGGGGTTATGCAAACAGGAAGGGACATCGGTCCTGCTATGGAGTCCACCTTCCAATTGCCAGGCAGAGCTTGCCAGCATTGTGGGCTGACTGTGTGGAGCTGGCAAGAGGGCATTCAACTAATACTGGACTCGGCTCCCCTTCAATACCAGTCGGGGGGACAAGCGGTGGGGACATCTGCCCAGGGATCCTTGTATCAAGGGAGCAGGAAAAGAGGCAAGCCACCAGAGAGGCCCGATGTGGCAGGAGGGCTCATTTCACAAGCCAGCAGGCCTCTAGCTCGCCACTCCTGATGGGGATTTGAAGGTGACCCCAAAGGCTCCTTCCCAGTCCAAGCTGGCTTTGCAGTGGGTGGGACAGGTGTGACAAGAGTCCCAGAGACAGAGACCTTAAGGAAACCAGAACTAGAACCAGAACCCAAACCAGCTGAGCAGGGAGTGGAGAGGATGGTGAGGTGACTGAATGCGAGTGTCATCCTGTCCTTTAGACCACACAGCAGCGGCTGGGTGGACTGTGACAGAGCAGTAACCCTGGCGCCTCCGTGGTCAAGGGCAAGTCTCCGCATGCGGCGCAGCTCTACCTCTTGAGGGGACCAAGCCAGGTCAGTGGTGTGTAGCCCTTGTAGCAGAAGATGGGGGCGGGGCCTATCTGTACACGAGATGGGAGAACTGGCTGGATTTGTAATTCAGCTGATTGTTGGGCATGAACTTGTGCAGCTCACTCTTTCTGCAGCATGGGTCGTAGTGGTAAGCGCCCAGGCAGGCGTCACAGGAAACTTTTGAACACTGGGTACAGGTGTTGGTGGCACCTGCACGGTTACAGAAGCCACAGCGGGAGGTGACTGTGGTAGAGGGCTTGGGCTTTGAGTGGACAGGTGCCAGCCGGTCAAGGCCCTGAGTCTGGCTCACATACTTCTCCCGCGTAGGTGCCCCATGGGCCAAGCTGTCATGTGCAGAGGCCTTGCTGGGGAAAGCGCTAGGCTTGGAGGCCGAAGGACAGACCAGTACACAGTCAGAGCGCTGGCAGAGGGAGGAGCTGCAGGACAGGCCGCAGTTTTGGCACTTGGAGAGGGCAGACTCTTTGGTGGGGGGTGAACGCTTGTGGTAGATGGAGTGGGCATCATTTTTGACGAGCCATACATCCGGCCGCAGGGCATCCTGCCTCCGGTAGGTGGCCCTGGGTTCT